AGGAGGTGTAGGGATTACATAGATAAATAACGTGCACATGATTACATAATATTTCAGCTCAAAGCTATTGTTCGAAAAATCAGCCTATAAAAGTCAACTTCATGTTTTGCCTGCTGCGAGCAAGTACAACACAATTAGTGCATCTCCAAGAAACTCCCTAATTTTAAAGAGCACATAAATTTAGATAGTAAAAATTTTGAAGTATTCCAATAAACTCTTTATATTTAACACTTAATTTTACTACTCCTAAAAAACATTTATCGTTTTTTCCTATCTTTTAGTTTTACTAGCTTTTCTCTAAATTATTATATTATTTTCCTCCATCGAAAATTCAAATACTTTGAATCCATTAAATTATAAAGAGTGAGTTTGGCGCACCAAAAACTCGCTCTCTAAATTAAAATGTTAATTTAAAGAACCTCTTAGATCATAATTTTAATGATTGACTCTTTAAAATAGAAAGCATCTTATATTTCAAGAGTCTCTTGGATATGCTCTCAACACTGTTATTATAGGCTTAATCCCCATAATGGATTGGGGTACAAAACAATGAAGCAAGAAACTCGTAAAGGAACAAAAGGGAAACAAAGAACAGAAGAACAAAAAAAGATCATGACAATAAACAAAACTGAATCCCATGTCATTGCATAATAGCAAATCATAAAGAAAAGGACTACGTAGAGAAAAATAATGCGCACGTGATAACATATTATTTTAACTCCAGAAAATATTGTAAAATATCAGCTATCAGCAAACTCCCCAGAGGAACTTCCATTTTTCATTGATCACTGCCATCAATAATTATTATTTTTATTTTATTTATGATAAATATTGTTCTCATTTACATAGCATTTTTGTTTTTGGGTTTTAGGAGAGAGGGGCACACCAACTACCCTATCATAATCTTCTGAAGGTTGCAAATTTCAGCATATAATTCCCATTAAGGACATAAGAACACTAGAAAACTAAATTACAAACAAAAGCATTATTATTCATAAATTAGATAGCCTCAACTCAATATTTAATGATATAAAATTGCCCGACAAGGGGGAATGAATTTGAGTATATGAACATTGGAAAAAGAATATTATGTTCCTCATAAAATGAATGGGAAATTAATTTTCTATTTTCTTCTCAAGAATTCCATTTAATTTATTTGCCAATATCTTTTCAGATAAACTTTCAGCATTAATGTTTACCCCGGGTTAATTAAATTATGATTGCCTAGTTAATCATAATTGTCCAAATAAAGGGAAGAAATTAAACCATGCAATACCTGGTCTATTAACATAGGATTGGATATAATATGACTTCATGCTCAAGAAATAAGAGAAGCCATTGGTCAATGCATTTAGGGAAATTGACATGAATACATCAAACAAGAAATCGTCAAATGATGTAAGATGTTTATATAGATGATCATGATGAAGATAAAGAAAATAGAAAGGGAAGTTCATTTGGTAGGCCACCAATTGTAAATAACCTGAACATAAATGATACGCCAATCTTGTAAAATCTTCCCCAGTTTACGCCTTTGCCATGAAGTATTTGTACATAGAACTCTCAGCAAATTGATTGCTAACTGCATTGTAAAAACGCAGATCATTTCCATATGATTTCAGCTTCTAATAGTGGACTGAGCAAACAAATTGACCAAAGCAAAAGACGACTCTACGATATCTGAATTAGATGAGTTACTCCATATAATTGAAAACCAGCTAAATGCACCTAAAAGCTCAGTTCAGTAATCAAATAGATAAAATATTGAACATAAGATCATGTTGAAGACCATAAGGTCAAGGGAAATGCACATGGTATCAAGAAACTATCTAAAACTTCACCTGTTCTAGTTGTGGAACAGTTATATTCTTTTGAATATCATGATTCTTTGCCCCATCAGGCAGCAAAGCATCTTTGCAAATAACAGCAAACATTGGATCACGTCCGTAGAGCCTCCCATCTTGAACCACCAGAAGCTGATCCATTTTGTAAGAGATGTTAACAAAGTATTGATCACAGGACAAAGCTAGAAACATTAACGTGAAGCCCCTGTTTCAGCCCATTCTTGAAAGCTCATTTTTCCCAAACTCTTTTTCAATCACATGTTCTCTCAATAAAATAATTTTGCATCTAAAAAGGAAAAAATCCTATTTAACAACATATTCTCTGAAAAAATTTCTCTTAACAAAATCTATTCTAAAAAAGGGACTCAAACATGGGCTAAGAAACAATTACAAGTACCTTCCAAAGATAGACTATAGAACATGACAAGAACATCTATTGGAAAAGTGAGAATTTATTCAAAGATATGCATTCTCGGCTTACAAGGAGTTCTTATAAACATCAGCATGATATCTGTTATACAACTTGCCCATTTCTAAATGGAGAATGGCAAAAACTGATTGAAAGTTTAAAAACCACAATAGGAAGACTGTTCGATCAAATTACACCTGCTATTCATTTACCTTCAAATTAGAGTAAAACATGGAAAAGAAAAAAATAACTGCCTTGGACTTGGAAAGAAAAACCTTCTGATTAAATAAATCCATGTCTGCAATGATATATGCTAGTTGATGACGTAATTCATTCACAGACACAGACATCCAATCGTTTTGTATTTCAATTAATTTCTAGGTTCAACAATATTAGCCTTCAGCTCCGATCCCTCAAAGTCCACATTTACCCATAGAAAAATCCCCAATGCTATGATAATATTTACCTTTTCCAAACTTAGTGAAAACATTGAAGAGGCAAAAGACATTAAGTAAGACGTTTTCACCCCTTCTGATGCAACATGTAAGCCCCAAACATTTCGAACAATATTTTGGTCTGAAAATATAGAATCAAACTGAAAGTCTATTAAGCCAGCATAGAAATCAAACCTGGACTAGGGCTCTAGCAACCAAATCAGGTTGAAACTTCTGAAAATCAACCACAAAGCGTAAAACACTTTCAAACACTGGATCCGAAGAATAGGAACATAGAATTTCTAAATCATGAAGAAGCTTCTGGAAATAATTGACTGCCTGATAAAAAAGAATGGCATTAATTTCATTTCAAAGATAAATAGAAGGGTCTTCAATTGAAAAGTTCGCCAGCTAACCTTTTTCCAGCTAAATAGTTTAATTGCACGAGGTGGAGTAGGGGTTGCTGACCTACTGTTTAACGTAGAATCAAAACCAATGGGTTGACAGCCAGAGGCTGTTGTTTTATCTTCTATTCCATCCTCTAAAGTTCCACATGCATTGTTGGATCTCAGGAATTCTCCTGATTTAAGCATGGAATCTAGCTCTGATAAGCAGGAAACGATGTGCTTCTTTGCCAACTCCAAACCTTTGCCTTGAGGCCGCCTCATGCATGTCAGAACATGGTAAAAGTGCTGAATATAAAGATGCCAAATGTTACTGGTGAAAAACGACATATCATGATAAATATATTTTCCATACCAATGCAGAGGAAAGATCAACAATATATATTTACATGTAGCAGCATGAAAAAATTGCATTCATCAAATAAGCTGTATAATAAATTATAAATAAAAAAGGAAGCAAAATAATAAGAAGTTTGATAATTTCAGCTCATGTGGCCCTAACAAAAATATGTTGTAGCGGATCACTTTACTTTTGAGGTTTCTGGCAATCACAAAACTTAAGAAAACACTCTATGTTCTCAAACAAATAAGGGATCCAAGTATTACATAAAAATTCAATAATTAGGCTTGTGCTTTGAAGTCAATGCATTCCTAATTTCATATTCAGTTTTCTATGGTCCTTTCAAGGATATCCCAAAATAGAGCCCAATATGAAAAGCTAAAATATTTATCTCATGAGTGTGCAGCTATAACACGATTTAACAAAAATGAAAGTGCAAAGAGAACAAGATAAAAAACAACAATGAGGTGAAGGCCGAATAGCCAAATAAGGACGTGCTTGAAAGTCACGATCGAAACAATGTACATAAAAAGTTAGACGCCTAAAAAGAGACCTCTCCCTTCATCCCAAAATAAGAACCTCTTTTCTAGATTTCAACATTTAAGCATAGATCATTCAAGCTATGAAGCTTCATTTTCGTCTTTGTTTTAGTCATATTCACCTCGTACATGTCTTCAAAGGAGTATATTCCTATTCTGCCTGGATCCAAGATCCTAGGTCATATCGTTTCTACTTTTTAGGGTATCTAGACATGGTTTATGCCATGATCAGTATAGGCGTCCTTGGATTTCTAGTTTGAGCTCATCATATATCTATGGCATTAACCATTCTAGGAAGACTGCCCCTTTACATAGCCATAATAGGAAGATTTTTCGAAGTAGCTGCAATTAAAATCGGTTAGTCTAGAATCAGTTGCTAGAGAATAGGCTGCTAGGGGGCACCGTCCCAAGAAAATTTCTCGAGATATTACTTTTTTGGGGGAATTCAAACAAAAAAAGTAAAAACATTTAAGTTTTTCACTTTTATTGCAAACCTCATTGGCGCCAAGCGTGAAGGAATGCTAGACGCTTGGTAATTCTCCTCCAACCAAGATAAAAGATCCCATTAATGCAGCTAATCCCCTGCATATTGTAATACCTATAGTTTGGTGGAAACCCAAGAGTCTTTACTTGATCAAGAAAGTGAGATGTATATGTCATTCCGGGGTAATCTTTTAATCTACTAATACTCCACCTATCTCTTTATTGTGAAATACTGGATTGGCCGCTCATTCTACCATAAGTACCTCCATATTCTACCAAGTATGATTCAACAATGGCTTTGAGTCAGTGATTGAAAAACTTCCTTTAAAAATGTAATTAGGTAGGAAGATAGTTTAATTTATAATTTATATTTCTAGTGAATATTTTACACGGAAAAATATTGTGATTTAATATGTATTAATTACATTTGTTTAAATGTATGTGCACCATTTAGACAATTAAGTTGCTTATTTATAGTGTTGAAAAACTCACAATAAGTCAAACGTGACATATTTAACACACGGATAATAGATATTAGAAATAATATTGATGACATGCGTAGTCACGTGTGATAATCCGATGATTGAATGTGTGTTTTGCATATGAATTCGAACTAGAAATAAGATTGGGTCATGTTTAGCATAAATTTGGTATATGGAAAAGAATATTAAATATTAATTGATTATCAATCATGACAAACACGTTAATCACAATAATTAACATAAGACGAGAATTAGAATTAGACCTTAATAGGAATTGAAAATCCAATACATGCATCTCATATTTGATTAAAAAAAATACCATCTTTATTACTTTCATAGTTTAATTTAGAATAAATTCAAACAAATCACGTCTTTTGTGTTACAAATGTCAAATTTGATAGAAACTAGTATGCTAAGTTAACAATTATTTCTCATGGAACGATAACTCAACTTACTACATTATTACTTGTTAACGATCTCATACGCTTACGGGTTTTGTCCGCACTCTCTCTATGTAAAATCCTCTTTTTATGTCCGCAGTTCCCATTCTAGTGAATATTTTACGGGAAAAGGGAAAAATATTGGGCAAGCACAAACTTTTTGATCAATTGGGAAGGCTCATAATTACCATAATAAATCCAACAGAATTCAAAACGCAACAGCCTGATTCAGATGCTAGAAGCAGCAAATGATGGTTTTCAAAATCTAGCATACAGTATAAAACTTTAGAACGCATTCCATCATAAGAAATTCATCTGTGCACCTAAACTGAAAATATGTACATGTATGATCAGAATATTAACAAATAGGGTCTCAGGAAGGCAGAGAATTAAAGATAACATAGAAGAAGACCTTACGAAAACGTAAGCGGCACAACAAAGCTTTGCAAAATCCTTCTTCAAGATCTAAGTTATTTTGCAGTGGCTCTATATCTGCATATCAACAGATCGTAAAAACCTTGAAACTGAGATCTAAAATGCCTTAAAAGCATAAAAGAAGATAGTAATGGCACGATAGATGGCAGTAAATATGTAGATGTGTATAAAATTAGGATCCTAAATTTGCATACATGAAGCATATCAAGATAAATATTACACATCTACATTGCACATTGCAAGCAACCATGTTTCAGAAAGGAGATTCCTTGAAAAGTTCTTCCAAATGATTCGTCTATCTGATTGATAAATCTTTAGAAGACAATACATGATTCATATTCTTAGTAAGAAAGAATAATCAAATTGAGTTCATGTATTTCTCTAGGTCAGTTCATGTGCTAATAAAGGATTTTTATCTATGAAAACTATTGGAAAGAGGAGTGCAAGAGAAATGATCGAATCTTCGGACATCCTAAAAATACTATGAGATGCTCAAAAATGGTCAAAGTGATTGAATAAGATCACTATGACTATAGCCCTTGGAAAATTTACAAAACATAAACTGACAACACATAAGCTTGACTAGGATAGAATCAACAGAAGGTTCATCCTCATTGTAGAAAGAGAGGAGGCACAACCCACCTCAAGGTGCCAAGTTTTTCTTTGTTTGAACATAATAGGTATTTGCAGAAACTTATGCCATATTATTGGGTAACTCTATTGGGCAGACCAGTTAACCGTACCACACTGCATATGCAAATGTTATGCAGTGTATGGTGCTAAATAAGTATTCAAGCCTTTACTCATGATCATAGGGGACTGTCTAAATATATGGGATTTCAAAATTCAAACGGTTCATATAAAAACTGTGATAGATCAAACAGAGGAGTTCTTCCAGTTTCACAAAGTTAGCTAATAAACCATAAAACCAGATTCCCACTGCTTTTTCAAGACTAACATTAATATAATAGTTCTAGTTTTCAACCTTGAGGTGCACATATTTTTTTTTTTTTTTTCCAAACATCAAACAGGCTTCTATATTAAGAACATTGTTCTTATCAGATGCAAAGCATACCTCCAGATCTAAATAGTGATAACATTTTCACGAGAGTATACATATTAATTCTTGATGAGTACCTTCTAAAACTCTTTTTTTAGATGGTGGTGCTTTACAAGCTCTTAATTGGCGAGAAATTATTTCTTCCACAGCATGCAGCATTGATAAGCATTTATCATCTCCTTCACTCTTTAATGGTAGGCCATAAGTCATAGTGAAAAGATCCTCTTCCTGACAATGGAGAATAATTGAAATGCCAATATGACCCTATTGCAATCTCAAATTAACGGGTCTAACAGGGTAACTTAGAAATCTCATACAGGCATACAATACATGGAATCTAAAGTCCCATATCCAAATACACAACAAATGCAATTTTTGTTGCAGTCTTCTGTTAGAACTGGATGCATTCAGAATGCTGTCACAAACAATGCATGAATGTAAAATTAATTTACATGACTTGTCTTGATACCAGACAATGATTACATTTTCTTTCTTTCTTTATTTAATGGCCGTGTTTCCACATTCTTCCAGATTTTTTATATAATTTCCTTTGAACATAGAAATAAACAACAACAATTGTTATCAGTCAGTATAAGGTAACAAATTAAGTTGCACCTTGGACAATCAAAGGATGACCATGGATCTTTACTAAACTAGGATGTATTTTAATTACAAATTAAAATTTAAAAAAATAAAAAAAAATAAAAAATAATCCTCTATTAACGACCACCTAAACTTTAGAAGAAAAATTACAGATTACAAGTGATGCAATCGATAACGAATATGCATGAATTGTAAGAAAAGTTCAAACATGTACCTAAATCTCTTCAAAAGTGTCTTACTTGGTAATTGCATTATGGAAGGAAAGCTCTTTAGCTGATGGGACGTGCCAAAATATAAAATATAGTCAACAACACTTGACAAAAGTTTCAATGCATAACCACTCGGTAGCATATCTAAAATTCCAAGGAATGTAATGCAAAGAACTGAGAAGTTAGAATATAAGCCCTTATTTGAGCCCCATTATTTTCATCAAAATACATTTTTCAACAGTAATTTAACCATATTTCAACCGCACATTCTTCATTAAAATAATATTATGCACAAATCCAAAAATTTTCTTTATTTTTTAACCACACATTTTCCATTAATACACTATTCAAAAATAAAAATACATTTTTTTGGCAAGAATGGGGCTCAAACAAGGGCTACGTATCCATAAAGGATGAAAAACAATATTTATCACTTAACATCAAAATTGATTCCATGCCTTAATGCCACTTCCTGGCAGCCATCCTGCAACCCCCACTTCCACCCACATCCCCGTATTATGGGGGAGCCAAAAACAGTCACACGTTTTAAATTCCAATTCCAGATCTGAAATATGATAGCTTCTTAATCCCTTCTATAATAATAATCATTTGGAGTTTGTGGAGGGGTTAATGGACATAGATAGTTGGTGCTGCCAGGTAACACTTACAACAATTTTATTAGGGTAATATATATATGTACAGACGATGCTCAGCCCCAACAGGGGTAATTAAGTAGTGTTATACAAATAGAATACTATTCAATCGTGAAGTCCATACCCAGCCACTATAACAAGAAAGGTACTATGACGTGTAGATAACCAGAGAAGAAGCAATAAAATTTCACAACAGAAATCCGCAATTATGGGATGCCATGTGAAATATCAGCATAATAAAGTGTCTCTAGACACGTCAATGTCATTCCTTTCTCTAGAAGCATTTTTTCGAGGTAACTACAAAATTAAGGTACTGTTGAAAATATTGCTCAATCAGAAAGAAAGAGAATCCTTTACTTCATTTGTACGTGCGTCTGAGACAGCTGAAACAACAGCATTGGAAGTTGCACGTATAACTCTGCAGTAAGAATGTAGTAGTGCATGCGATGATGTTCTCTCAGGACGCATAAGGTAGATGGAAGAGAAAACGGTTTGGGCTAGTGATCCTCCCTTATGCCATGTTGCCTGCACCATAAGTGAAAAGTTAGAAGACTTTTCCTTTCCTCTAAGTGAACTCTTATGGGAACTGCAAGAATCATGTTGCCACATATTTGACCCATACCTCACATGATAGTAGATGATCCATGATGTCTATAATACGTTGCACATCAAGTGTTCTATCAAAACTCAAAGGAACAGGAGCAGCACCATTCTCAATGGCTTCATCAATAGAATAATATGTAGAAACAATACCTGAATCCATCTTTGGGTCCATTATCTGATTAGGATAGGAAACCGTATGAGACCCAAAAAATTAGCACAAGTAAAAGAGGAGTAAGAAGTGATTAATCAGTGCATTATGCGTTGCGTTCCATTTAAGAAGCCCTGTGGTTCTGCCGAAGAATAGGGGCCTCGGATAGAATAGTGTGTCCGAGCATGTCAAGTGTGTGTATAAAAGCAAATAATCAACTGAATGGAGGAACTCTCCATCACTATAGATCATTGAGATCTAAAGTGCAAAATAAGCAGAAATGAGACATCAAAACCAACATATTTGAATAAATTTAACCTCTCAACAAGCATGAAAAACTAAAACTCCTTAAATATAAGAAAATGAATCTACAGCATGACGCATGACGAAAAATACCATCTTGCAATTACCGAAGAAAATTAAAATGGGAAATGAAAAATGTCATACCAACTAACAATCATTATTCAGTTTCTTCACCCTCTATAACAATTTCTTCTATAGTTTTTCCTTCCAGTTTAAATTTATTATCTAGGATGCAGAAATTGTTTTCAGCATTGAAGTATCTAACTATAATAGTTGGTGGTTTGTTTCTATTTTCCTTAATTAAATGGAATTCATTTGATGGATAGTTTAGACGGTGTACTATCCTAGAATAAAACTCAGATATGTAGGAGAACCAAAAATAATAATAATAATAAATAAATAAATAAATCAGACTAATTTCATTTTTCTCATAATGATCTGGCAAAATAAGGTCTTCCCTTTTTGCCAATCATTAATAATTAATAAAATATAGATATTACCCTCCACACTATATTCGTCAACCTCAATTGTGAATGAGAACATTACAATGCCCCCCCCCCCCCCCCCCCCCCCCCC